CGCCAATTCTATCATCAACAAGTTTAATACAATCACAAATTCGTTCTACTACAATGGAAGTATTACCAAATAAAAAACATTGTTCTTTGAAAGAAAAATCTTTGCGTAAAGTTAAAAGTGAATATGATATAATTACTGTTGTGGATGATGGTGAAAATGAAAATAAAATATTAACCCGAAAACGTTCTCGCAAATTCGATAACGTAATAGGCATAACTACTCGTCAAACACGTACAAAAACAAAACATCAAATTTCGAGTAATAGCACTTTAGGTGAAGAAGAGAGCGAAGAAAATGAACGTTATCAACATTGTGAACATTGTCCACTTTTATATCAGTTATCTCCAGAACAACAACGTCAAGCATCAACACCAACAATATCGAAAAAAGTCATTAAAGAGCAAAAATGTAATTGGTATAAATGTAAACGTGGTCTAATTCCTGGTTCATTATTTGAACATTTAATGGAACATGTACAAGAGCAAAAAAAGAAAAAAAAAGAACAATGCCTCTGGGTGGGATGTAAAGGTAATCGATGGCAAATATCAGCTTCCGTGTTATAAAATAGAATTATTACAGCTCAGAATCTTTCCTTTTTATACCGTAACAGCGTCGACAGTTGCATTTTCCTATTTTAGTATTCAAAACACCGTCCAAATGTGCAAATTATTTAGAGAAACATATTCATAAGCATACAAACGAAAAACCTTATCGTTGCGTATTTGATAACTGTTTTGAAAAATTTACTACTCAAAATGCTGTCGAGCGACACGTTCAAACACATTTGAAAGCAGATGAATCAGCATTCATGAATGGTAATTGTGAAACTGATTCGATATTTATGGCAGTTAGTGGTGACAGTGCCAGTCATGTCACAAAATCAGATAATGATTATAGTGATAATAAAATAGCTAATCAACAACATCAACGAACAGTATTAAATAGTAAAATGAGTAATAGTAATTACAGTGGTAATCACCAGAATAATTTAATAATCAATAATAAACCATCACAACAACAAACAAAAATAAATCGAAAAAGAAAAGCAGCCAAAGTAAATGGTGTTCAAGTAACTTATGTATCAAATCGTGATTGTTTTACGGATAGCGAAGCATTTCATTTAAATCGTTTATTTGAATCTTGGCCATATATTTCTGTAGAAAGCGAAGATCCAACAATTGTATTAGAGCCAAATGTAAGTTCATTCGAATCTAGTAAAAATATTCATATCAGTATTTAATTTCTATATTAGGTTACCATGAAACGTCAAATTGGTGATGTGACAGAAAACTTTATTGAATGGCAACCAGAGGGCGTGTATGTTTGATCTGTTTTTCTTCTACTATTTGTATTGTAATTGTCTCTTTCGTATAGATGTTTGAGCGAATGGATACGATCAAGAGTGGCTCATGTTGACAAGAAAAAAATTTCCATTCAAGAATTAAATAGTGAACAATTAAATCGTTTACTTCCTCCCGTTTATAAATATCGTCAACAACCACATCGTCGAAAACGATATTCAACAAATCCAATTACAAATGTCTAATGAACGTGCACGTAACTCAGAAACCCTCTGTTTCTTTCTCTTTTTTACTAAATGTAATCTGTTGAGACAGCTGTTTCATGTATGTTTGTGTATGAATTTGTTGTACATAATTTCATGTTGTTTTTTATTTAATGCAAATTTGTGCGTAGACTAGAAACAAAGCTTTTTTGGCAATTATCTGTTATTGTTTTCTATTTCTTATTATTACGCACTGTTCTGTTTTGTTATTGTGGTTGAAATGTTTCCTTTTTTAGAAAATAAGTCAACAATGCAATTTTTTCATCAACATTAGAATCTGTTTTGAGTTGATAATTATTCAAGTTCAAATAATGTAACTATAGATATAGAAAGCTTAATGTTAAATTTTGAGTGTAAACTACTCAATTAATAAGTAGAAAGTATGCAAAATTTGACTGTTCCTTATTGTGTAACGTTGATTGATTAAAGTTTATCAGTATCGGACTTTAGAAACGTAGTTGGACTTTTTCACATCAATTTTTAGAAAAGAGCATAAAATTCTAAAACTTATCCTCTGGTCCTATGTGCAACTGATGAATAACAATTTTTAACAAGTTCAACAAGGCCGTTCGCTGGACGACAATCCATACAATTTCCATGAGCTGTTCTGTTCCTATGCCGATCTGTTCGAAAATCTGTTCGTTTTTACTTCTCGATACAGTAAGCGACGTTCAGGCAACAAGTGTAGATGTTCTCAGTATATTCTCTAAAAGTGAAAAAATCTAATGATCAATGATATTCAAAAACAATAGACGATATCGGAGCGAATAGCTCTGAAATAGAAAATTCCAGTTCAGAAGATGAAGACGAAGAAGATTTAGTGGATAATTGCTGGGACGATGAAACAGATGATCAAGGTCATTGTAGTGAAGATAATTTGTCAAATGAAGACGATGATGAATATGTTTTATTGAGAGATTCATCTCAAACACAAAGAGCGACATTTGCTGGTATCCGGGTGTTTGACAAAATCAATCCAAAACGATCAAGTTCTTACTTTCATGTCAAGATTGGCGACAAATGGAAATACTTATTCAAACAATCAGCTTGTTGGCTGCTAACAGACAATAAAACACATTCATCCAGTGATAGACTGAAACATGTTATGGAATCTGGACAACAAGAATAAACAATGTGTTTTTTTATTGAAGTTCAAGAACCTTTTCCACTTTATTAAAGGAAAAGGATGAAAAAAAACAAAGAAAATGATGGAATTTGAACACACAGCCTCATCCGCCATCTTGAATTTTTAAGTGCTGAAAAGTGCTATCCGTAAAAAGTGCTTTTTCCCACTTGGTCAAAGTTCTTCATAGCAGTTTCTGTACTACACAGTACGTTATAATCATATATGACGGGTAAATAAATTTTATCGATACATTGATGCATGTTTGACAAAAAAAGATTAATAAATTGGGTATCAGATTATACTCATTCCACTATTGAATATAAAAGACTTTAACTCCTTGAAGTTCAAACGAACTTGATAAAAGATCTCCAACTTCAAGCCCGTCAAAAAAACCTTCAGGCCCGCACTTGCACTTGCCCACCTCTGTAATCACCTCAAAATTGTCATGTCACTGCATCATATAAACTATTTGCGTTTTCATACAATTTCCATGAGCTCTTCTGTTCCTATGCCGATCTGTTCGAATTCACACGATCCTACATTCTTCACTATCCACGCAATGAAATTTTAGATCGATGGAAGAATTTCTATGAAATCGTTCAAATTCTACTG